ATTAACTGAAGGTGGGAGAAAACAAAGTACAGGATTGTTAAGAAGATTAACTATCCCTTGAGGGTGGTTCTCCCTCTAAGAGGTCTGGAAAAAAGAACTGAACAATGGACATTGCTTATTTAAGGCAAAGATAAACCTTTTTACTAAAGAAAGTATATGCCTGGGGTATGACTACCTAGTTAGGAATTTATGATCAGATCACCCTGTGAGGTCACTTTTAGATATATTACAATGCCCCTTTTTCATCCACATTGAATATGTAATGGATTTGCTTTTCAAATGTGAATGTCTTAAAAGGTAAACTGAATCACTACTGTGAATCAGGCAAGTCAACTGCACTGACAAGATGGCAACTGCAAAAGGTGAGTTTGGGGGCTTCCCTAGCTCTCAGCCTGATCTATGGTCTTCCTTGCACTAGCAGAGGAGCAGCAGTTCCAAACTCGTTTTCTCCACCCACCTTTCTCTCCAGGCTACCCACCTCCTACTCCACTCATCAGTTATGGGTAAGGCCAGAGCCCAGGAAGGCCCAAGGGCCAGATTCTTCTTGAGATCAGGCCCTAAGATTAACACGGGCACCTCTCAGGCAAATGGGTACAGAATGATGCTCCCTGGGCAGTGCTGGGAGACAGATACACATAACAGAGGTGCACTTTCCAGTTCCCGAAACCAAGAGGGAACAACTGTAAACATTCCCATTTTATACCTGAGATAAGATAGGCCAAGGATAACGAGTGGCTCAGGCAGGTCACACCCTGGAATGGGTGCCACCCAGAATCCACACTGAGGTCTCTGCATTCAGCAGCCTACGTCCCACCCAGCGGGAAGGTCCACGTGAGTCGCGCCTACCGTGGAGATTCTGAGAAGCTACACTTCTTCCTTCCACGTGTCAAACCGGTGATTGCCAGAAACGAGAATCTCTCCATGTAAACCCCATCCTGGAGTCCACACCATGGGCTGTGAGTGACCCCATGCCGGGATACCCAGACCCAACGGCAGCGAGGGGAAGGCGAGGACTCCCGCATTTAATACACGTCAGGGCGCCAACAATGAAGGAGCGCGCAGGGACCGGGCCACCCTGCACTTACCTGCGCCAGGTCCATGTGAACTAGCACCGACAAGGAAGTCGTGTGCGGAGCACAGCCAAGAGAGGCGACGGCAGAGATGGTCCCGCGGACTCGCCGATGCCTCCTCCAGGTCCTGCTAGCGCCGGAATGGCTGTCCTCTCCTTTCGGTGCTTCTCTGCAAGGTACGAAGAGCCTGGAGAGCAGAGTGCACAGACCCCTAGGCTGGAAGAGCCAACTCGCCGGTGCCGCCGGAAGTCCCACCCAACAATACCACAGCCCCTTTCAAGGTCCCGAATACCCTGTAGTCGGATCCTCACCTAGCCTAGACTTCTGGGTAATGTAGTTTCTCTCTTGCTCGCAGCCTGGCCCGGGGAGCCCTTCCCAATCTCCAAAACCACCACCTGAGTGGGTGGGGCGTTGGGAAAAGGTGGCTTGTAGAAAGGGAATGAGGCTTGCATCTTCTTAAAGGGGAAGCACCCAGATTTATCTGCCACCCATCACAGAAGACACAAGACTTCATATGCCACTATGGGAAGGAAGAAACTTGCCCCTATCCTCAAGTTTTTTTTCTTCTCCTGATCTAATAATCAAATCTATAAAAGATAGACTAACAAAAGAAAATAATCAAATTTAATACATACATACTGTGAACAAAAAATGGTGTATGTAGTAAATCTGATGTCCCAATTAATTAATTATCTGCCTAGATTTAGTGGGACATACACAGGTGACGAGGGGTCAGCAATAACGGCCTATCCCCTGGTACTTCAATGTCTAACAGTTGAGCCGAACCGGAACACATGAACACACAAGACAGAATTAGTATACAATCACACAAGGTTTACTTACCTATTCCTAGTGGGTCCTAGGCTCCAGCAAAGGCCACCCAGCCAAGCACACCGAAAGACAGAAGACGGAGACAGGCGGCCGCAGTTGGTTCAGGCTCGCACAGCAGAGCAGTCAGTCAGTCAGAGGCTCGTCTCCCGGATCGAGGTGGAGTCCTTCTCTTACCAGGCAGGAAGGTCCGGCGCTTATATAGCCAGCAGCAAACAACTTGTGTCTTATCAGTGTGGGCAAGACGCTGTGCCTTACGCTAGGAGCAGGGCCTTTACACTTTAAGGGCTTAGGGCGTTTACATCAAGATAGTGGGGCGTTCACCATGTTTATAACATGTTGGAAGTTACAGAGTATTGGGGTCTCCACACAGCAAACATTTCACACAATAATCATTTCACGCATTGGAGGGGTTTCCTCATGACCATAACATTATAACATTTGATAAGCTCAGTGACTACAGTAACCTCAAAGGGTGATCTGATCATAAATTCCTAACGGGGCAGGTCACAGTGGGTAGTCACACCCCAGGCCTATAGCTTCCTTAAGTTTGTCTTTGCCTTAAGCAAGCCTGTCCATTTGAAACGCCAGAGTAATTCTCTTTTCCAGTCCTCTTGAAGGAGTAACGACCCTCAACCTCCTGAGGAGTTTCACATTTCAGAAATTGAGTTGATAGATTGTCCCATATGACACTAAATTAGTCTCAGTCTTGAGTATAATCAGTTCAGTTAAACAGTCATGTCTCATTTCAGGAGGCAGACATATAGGTGGGCTCCCAAAGCTAGGCCAATGGTGCAAGCAATCACGTATTTAATAATAGGTAGCTCTATGGCAGCGGTTCTCAACCTGTGGGTCACGATCCCTTTGGCAGTCGAACGACCCTTTCACAGCGGTTGCCTAGGACCATGCTGCATATCAGATATTTACATTATGATTCATAACATTAGCAACATTACAGTTATGAAGTAGCAACGAAAATAATTTTATGGTTGGGTCACAACATGAGGAACTGTATTTAAAGGGCCAGAAGGTTGAGAACCACTGCTCTATGGAAACAAAAGAAAAACAATGGTTAATGACTAAAGCAGACACTCATCCCAGTTTCTAAGTTCTGAAGGCAGGAAGTTAAGATTTCTACATGTTTGTCTCAAAGCATCTTCAGATGGCGTGAAGGCAGGTAGTGACAGTCTGATAGATTCTCCGGTTCTGTAGCTGGAATGTTTCTGGTATTTTTCTGCAACAGGCATGAAAATTGTCTATATGTTGGTGGCAAAATGGCACCAGGTGTTAGACTGGTGGAGTCAGACTGGACCTCAGTTTAGCAACCTCTATACTTGAATTCTGGCTAAGAAAAAATTCAGAACCAACTCACACTATAAGAGAAAGTTTACTTAGAAAGTTACAACTTGTT